GATCGAATGACTAATATAAGAGATTGAGGAATTGTTAGATTAAATTACAAGTTTGTGATTATTGATAAAGAAATCAGCCATGTATCTGCAACTTATAATTTATTTCAGCAAAGGTTAAATGTTAAAGGTACTTGGATGAGAAATTATGAGAATACTCTGGTAGGGTAAAATTACGAAAATACCCTTATGTTGTAGGATGACAAGAATTGTTCCTAGAAGTTGGTTAATAACTTTGAAAAAAGACATATTGATCCGATATAACTACTGATGTGCATAAGAAATGTTAGTTTTATTTGGAAATTATGGATAACCGGTTTTAATCCTAGGAGAGTTTGTGAATGATGCTAGAAGTCTGTTAAGAGAACCGTTTCAAGATCAGAGAGTGTTCAAGAAAGCAATTAATCATAGGATCTCTAAATTATATTATTTTTGTTAAGAGCTAATATCGAAATTATCTGGTTAAGAAATTACGAAAATACCCTTAAGAGGTAGAATAGTCTGAGTTGACTCTGAATAAGAAAATACTTAGAGGATTCGTACTTAACTCGATTAAGTACGGATTTAATTGTTAATATCCTGACTTAGTGCAGGAAAATTCCTGATATTCCGTTTGTAAAATCTGAGAAGGCACTTGACCCGGAAATATCCGAGTTATGAGTAAATACCTGAAGAACAATTTGTCGGGGGTGTTCTGTTGTCAGAATTGTTTGAAAGGACTGAAATAAATGATAAGATTGAATTTAATAGTAAGATCGGACGGAAGGAAAGGATTGAAATACACTGTTGTAAAATGACCAAAATACCCCCTGTAATGGAAATGACCCCAAGAATATCACCAAGCTCAGGAATGATTGAATATCCTCGAGCTCTGAAATGAATGGAATAAAACTGAACATCAAAATTACCAAAATACCCTCATGACCTATACCAAGTAAATGCCTTAGATTAATTAAGGAATCCAAATAAGCATAGGTATTGGCCTACCTTTAAAAGTAATGGAACATAATTTAAGTGAGTAGATTAACCCTAAGGCTATGTCAATAACTGAATGGCATAGATATTACTGGAATGCGTGTTTGTCTTCTTAAGTTTGACTCGATGATAAATTTTGGAAGTATTCAACTTAGTTCAACTCTGGATCGCATTCAGTACTAAGAATTAGACGTTTGTTCGACAAATCAACCACAAAGACCAAATTCAATGGAACAGAAGTGAAGCATGTGTCTAAAAATCAGGAACGCTTGAATTACTCTGGAAAATCGCGAAGTATCTGGAATGGACTTGAATGCTAAATAAATTAAGTAACCACAAGGACTGAGGATTGAATAAGTGAGTTGGATAAGTCTGGAAACTCTGATGAGTTTACGTAGTGTACAATTACAATGGGTTATGAACAAATTAATCAAGTACGTCAGTATTTCATGATATGATGAAAGAGTGAACATGAAATAAAGACATTGCAAGATTTATTCAATGTTAATTTCGAAAATGATATATGAACAATAATTTGTGGTATTAAAGAGTAAATACCCTGGAAGAAAAATGAATTGACCAGTCGACATAGATTGTTAAGGTTCTGAATCTTCGTTGTTAAGTTGTTCGATTATCCGCTCAATTGATATGGATGTAAAAGATCCTGAATACCCTTATGATTACGTACAACTTCTGAAAACAGTCCGAATAAGATATGATCCTGATAATTCACATTCTGAATAACTGATGATTCCGTCAGTTATTGAACTTTTCCAACAGTGATTCTAAATTCTGACATTCTATCGGTATACTGAAGATCCGTGTTTCTCTACTTGCTAAGATTATCCAGTACCTCCGAAAAATAATTGTAAACTCTGGTGTGTTCCCTAATCATATAATTATTTTATCTGATTTTCGACTTGAATTCTGTTCTGATACATGACCTGAATTCTGTTCTGATTTCTTATATGGATTCTGTTCTAATATCTGTTCTGAATTCTGTTTTTGATTTTTGATATCTCCGTTTAATGACGGAAAAATGTTTTAATTGGGGGGTATTGTTGAAGGAAGAATTTTCGCAGGTTCCTCGGCTTTGTGCTCAGGGCCTTATATGTTGTGTTGGGTTGGGTGTATGGTTCTGGGGAACCTACACATTATGTTGTATTGGGACAGGGGTATATATAAATATATATATATATGTTTTAAAAAGATCTGAAAAGTTACATGGTTTTTGGGAATACACTAGAAAACCTATTCTGATCTCCTGAACCTAGACATCCGAAATATTTCCATCTGAAATGAATACTATTTGTTACTACCTGAAATATCCGTAGAATCTCTGCTCAGTATAAAGATCTGTAAATGTCTGAATCGATAAAGAAAAATATGTTTATCTGTATCTGCACGTTCTTCAGCATCATCTGGTAATTCTGTATTACTGAGCTTTCCAAAGCTCACTCTATTACTCACCTTTTCAGGTTAAAAGAATTGTACCAGTGCATCTATCGACTTCAGTAAGGGAGTTCGTCCGGCGTTGTTGCAGAGTATGGTACATGTGATTAGGGGGAATGTAATTGTATTTTGATTTATATACGTGTTTGGAAATCTGTTTTATTTTTAAATAGTGAAAACTGATTTTATAAGTTTACATGTTCTGATAAAAAGTTTTAAATTTTCCGCTATTTTTACAGTGGGTCACTCCGGTGGCCCTAATGTGACACCCCGGATCGGATCGAGCTACCCGCATAGGTCTGTGGGGTTACACGAGTGAAGAAATATTATACTTGAATCGAGTTTAGGTGGGCCAAAACCTTAGCCCGAAATGGACCAATGCATTGACTTATCAGAGGTGGTGTGGTTGACCAAGATCTTCTGTATCCAGTGGGGTAATTGAAATGGACTCGGAATTGATGGACCAATGCGTACGACCATAAATTAAAGCAGAATAGTCGGCAGCAATGATAATCTCCACATATAGCAACGGAAGCCACAAACGCCACCGTTTCCCATCCTTTTCTGCTAATACCTATCATCTCATGACTTATCAGAGGTGTCCCTATTTGCTACAACTTAAGTACACGCATCATTTCAATTTCATGTATATTCAAATATCAACATTTAATTTCGTTAAAAATATCCATCTACACCACACCAGTGGTAACTAAATAATTCAAACTCATCCAATTTTGTTTATATTTTTCACAAATATATTTTATTAATAAGAAACGTATCTTATTTAGTTGTTAATTATAAAATAAATGATGTAATGGGTTGGCCTTATTGCTGGGTCCTACCACATGGGGGTTTGCCTCAAAGCTGAATCATCGAATCCCTGTTTCCGTCACCTTTCGTCTTACATGCTTATCTCTAACACCACCAATTGGTCGGTCTTATTAGCTTGCACGTTGCCACTTATACTTCTCCTAATTTTTTATTTCCCTTTATATATGTTAATTAAGAGCAAAGTTAAAGAACCAAATTAAAGAAGTATCTTAATATTTTTAATACTCCGATTTGTCTCTTCTAGAATTATATTTGTCGATAATATAAATATTAAATAAACTTTTAAATTCGTATATTAATTTTGATATTCAAGAGAGAAATTGAAGGTTACACGTGTACTTTAATGAGGATAAAGTGTATGTAATTTAAATTTAATCAAAAATCAAATTGAATTGAATTAAAAAATGATAAAAATAAAAGAATTAAAGATCAAATCAAATCATAAAATAAAACAATTACTTTATTAAAAAAGGAAATGACGTGGTTTTACTTTTTACTTTTTAATTATTTAAACTTTATAAATTTAAGTTAGCCTCGAACTTAAAATCTAAATAAAATTTTAAATTAAACCAAATAACTTAATTTAAATTTCAAATTAAAAAAAATCAATTTGAAAATTTACTCACCTACTGTAGAATTTATATGAAAGAAATTCTTTTACTTGCACCCACCTTAATATTCATTGTAGATCGTCAATGATTATTAGTTATATGATTTTTTTTATATTATTTTTTTATATTATTTTTAATTTTGAATAATAATATATGTTCTTGTGACATGTTTTTCTCTGTTTTTATAGCATACGTTTTTTATGCTATTGTGGTATGATTCTTATGATTTTTAATACATTTTTCGCATACATTTGTGATCGTTTTGGTGCTCGACAAAAGCTCTCGGGACATTTGTTTTTGATCGGTTTGTCGATGATCACGTATAATTAGATCTCATCTTTGATAAGAGGTTGTTTATTGATATAATCAGAATTGTACAACGGAGGAGCCAACCAAATAGTTTGATTTGTTTATCACTCATTTTATCACTTTGTAAAAAGTATTTCGTTCGACATAGAGAAAAAGTTTTATGAAGTTTACTGGATTTTTTAAAAGTTGGCCGGCATTCTTAAGAGAATGTATTGTTTTTCTTTGTATATTTGAGTTTAATATTTTTTTATATGATTTTTTTATTATTGTTCATATTTTTTTATATTTAATTGGATTGTAATTTTGATTCTTTTAATTATTTTTATTAATAAAATCTAGTTAAAAAAATACACCCCGAAAATGCACACAATGTTGATTTTTTATATTTTAAAGGAATAAATTTGAATCTCATATTAAGGTAGTTCTGGCATATAACAGTCTAATTTAAGGCTACGAAAAAGTGTGACCGAAAATGTTAAATCCAAAATGTTAATTCTTTTAACTTTTTGATTGATAATCGAAAATGTTATATTATTTATAACATTTTTTAATTAAAACAAAAAATGTTAAAAAATTAACATATTAAGTTTCACTTAACCTAAAATGTTAAGATTTTTTAACATTCTTGGCATTTTAACTCAATAATTAATAGTTAAAGTAAAAATTAATATATTTAATATATTTTTACCATATTAAAATTATTAAACTTTTTTGTGGACTACAGTATATAAACGTGGGAAATCTTATTGGTTATTGAAGTTGTTACCCTAAACTAAAATCTTGACAGAAAAAATAACAAATACTATAAAATAAAAACAAAGGAATCAAAGAAAATCAAAGGAGCGCGATTACAGCATTAAATCCAGCTATCTCGTTACCTGCTTCCTTTTCCTGTTCCTTAACTCGGCAGACTCGCTTCTCCTACCTTTTAATTACTTTTTTTTTACTTTTCCCACAACATTACATTCCCCTTTAGCACTCAAACTCAGACAAAAATTATTATTTTTCTTCTTTAAATCTTGTTTTTTCCCCCCTAAAAGTGAAGAGGCGAAGAGGGTGAAAAAAATGGGAGTCGACTACTACAACATTCTGAAAGTCAGCCGTAACGCTACGGAGGAGGACCTGAAGAAGTCCTACAAACGGCTGGCCATGAAGTGGCACCCGGACAAGAACCCCATCAACAAGAAAGAAGCGGAGGCGAAATTCAAGCAGATTTCTGAAGCCTACGACGTCCTCAGCGACCCGCAGAAGCGGCAGATCTATGACCTCTACGGCGAAGAAGGACTCCAGTCGGCTGAATTATCGAGTCCCAATGGGTTTAGTGGCGGTGTCGGTGGTGGTAGGGCCTACAGGTTTAATCCCAGGAATGCTGAGGATGTATTTGCGGAGTTTTTTGGAGGGTCGGAGAAGAGATATAGTGGGGATGGTGGTGTTGGGAGTCAAGGGAACAAGAAGGCGGAGCCGGTTGAAAGCAAATTGGTTTGTAGTTTGGAGGAGCTTTATAAAGGTGGTAGGCGCAAAATGCGAATTTCCCGCACCATGGCTGATGAATTTGGGTCAGTGCATGCAATTTTCTCTGGGTTTATTCTTTCATGCTGAAAGCTTTAAACTTTTTCTATTCAATTTTGGATATGATAATTTTGCATGTTGATTTTTTGTTTGTTTGTTGCTTATGTGATCTGGATTTTGCGATAGGAGGAAACAATCTGTGAATAGGTGTTGATTATTCTTCAATTCTCTGGATAGTCCAGGAAAATTCTTAAGATGATTAGAGATTAAGCACTAAAATCCTTTTAGAATTTGCAATTGCAGAGAAATTATTGATGTTGAAAGATGGTTTTCTTTTTTTGAAAAGGATTTGAGGGGTTGACTTCTACTCATGGGTACTTCTTTTTGAAGTTGAATTATGGGTTTTGGTTTACCAATTCTTTTGAAAGTTGATACTTTGTGCATCTTTTGTAAATTGATCGGTATTTGGGAATTTATCGATCCAAAGCTTTATATGTATTCAATTCAAGTTCTTTCATTCCCTGTTTTTGATCAAATTTGCATTGATAATATCAGAATTTGATTGCTGAAATAGATCAGTTGACCTCTGTAGAATTTACTGCATATCGGATTATCCGGAAAATGAAATCGCCGTCGCTTCCTCGGATTTCTTTTAGGTTATCCTAATACTCTAGAAGTGATTGTTACCATCACATGCCAATGATTAGAGAATGGATATTAGGTGTTGTCTTTTGTTTTCTGGAAATGATCTTCAGTCCTAGAATATTAAGCCAGTTTGTTTGTTTGCCAATTTAGTTTCATTTGTTCATATCCGATCCTCGTTTTAGAACATTCTTGTTTGTTTATATATTTCAAGTTTCCGGGCTTGAAAGTAAGAAGAATATATGTGCATTCATGTTTACATCACTTAAACTATTGGTTGGAGCAACATCTTATCCTATCATCGTTTTGGAACATTCTTGTTAATTTATAAGGGTTTTTCGGGCTTGAAAGTAACGTAGAATGTACGTGCATTCATGTTTTCATCACTTGAACTATTGGTTGGAGCAACAACTTGGAGTGATTTGTACTAATGTTTTTCCCCTTTGTTTGATGTATAATTAACTTTCTTGCAGTAAGCCGAAGACGGTGGACGAAATATTGAAAATAGATATCAAACCTGGCTGGAAAAAGGGCACAAAAATCACTTTCCCGGAGAAAGGAAACCATGAACCTGGTTTCATTCCTTCTGATCTCATCTTTGTGATAGACGAGAAACCGCATGCTGTTTTCGAGAGGGACAGGAATGATCTGATTGTCAATCAGAAAATCTCACTTCTCGAAGCCCTCACCGGGATTACCTTCAGTTTGACAACCTTGGATGGAAGGAACCTTGCCATCCCAGTTACGGAAATCGTGAAACCAGGTCACGTGGTGGTTATCCCGAACGAAGGGATGCCGATCTCGAAAGAACCTAGCAAGAAAGGACACCTCAAAATCAAATTTGATATCATCTTTCCCTCGAGGCTCAATGCAGAGCAGAAGTCTGATCTGAAGAGGGCATTGGGGAGAGCCGAGAAATAGTGAAACAGACCGATGCCTGAGACCACAATCATCTATTAACACCGATCGATGTCGATTGTCAAGTTGACGTAAATAGGTTTAATTTTGTATCTCTCGAGTACTAAATGATTAAGGATTGTGCATAAGTAGGAAAGTAAGTGTATGATAGAGAGTGCCTATCTGCTGCTTTGGTCTAATTGGAAAAATTTACACTTGTATTTATTTCTAGTTGTGTTGGAAGTTGAAGGAAAGACCTTTCTGTGTTGCTATATATCTTGAAAATGACTGATTTTATAGTATTTTCTGTGTTTCTGTAAGCATGAAAAATTACATACAATATGATAGAAAAATAAATATTTGGTCCCCTTCAAAACTTTCATGTTCCTTTTCATCCCTTATAAGCTCTATTAAAAAAGGAATATTTATGTTTGGACCCGTACAATTTCTTTAGTTTCTTTAAATACCATGGACTTTTTGAGAATAAGATAAATTTATCTGTCCTAAAATTTTATTTGGATCCTTGGGAAATTTTATAATTTGGTATAATAAGTTTGGTAGCACTAGATTCTCCCTAATTAATATTGTTTTAATTTTTTGAATTTACTATTTCAATTAATCAAATACTATTTTCATTCATTATTGAAAATTATTTTTATTCTCGAGCTCATAAGAAAGAAAAATAAAATTAAACTATTAGAATATTTAATACAATTTATACAATAATATTTTTTTTCTAAACATACTGTATATAATCTTCACTTTTTCTTTTGGATCATTAAATAATTGATGATAATTGCAGCTTAGTTATAATCATCTTCAAAATACTTAATTATATAATCCAAATACATATTTACATTAATTGCAGCTTTTTAGAGTGAATTTTCTTCAATTGTAGCCGTGGGCTTGCGTCTTCTTTGTTACAGGCACTGGGTCCTGTTTCAGCCTATATTCGTGACCCAATTAGTGGGGATATCAATACCAAAATTAATGAGTCTACAATTAGTGTCACATATTGAAATAAATCACTAGCTTTATCGAAACACATCATTAATTAAATTATTATTATTAAATAAATATTAAAAGGGTAAACTACAGGTTTATTAATTAAATGATCACTTTTATTTCGTTTTAGTATCTAAATTTTTTCTTCTTCTTAAAATCAATCCTAATGTTTAGTTTAAGTTTCAAGTTGGTGACTCGCCACTAAAAACTTAATGGTAATATCGAGGTTGACATGTCAAATTTTTTTAATTTCCAAATCACCTTTCTCTTTCTTCATCAACATTTTTAATTAATTTTATTTAACTAATTAGGTATTGAGACACCACCAATAAGGATAAAATGAAAAATATCATTCTTGCTTCTAACATGAATTAAATAAATTATTCTTTTAATTTAATAATAATATAAGTAAGTATTAATCTCAATATAATAAAAAAACACACTATAATTGAGTAATTAAGCTTTTAAAATGTCTCATATTTGAATCTTATAATCATAAAAAAATATTTATTTTGTAGTGATACTGTTATATAAGTAAAATATAAAATGTAATGAAATTAACTCAAATGGCTAGCTTAGCTCAATGATTGACTTCATCTCATGCAAGTGCTTGTAGGGATAGGCACGGGACCCAAACTTGACGGTTTCTGACCCAATAAGCTCGAGTTTTTTTAATAAAAAATTCAGGTTCGAAACGGATCAGGTCGGATTTTTAAGAGGATGAGTTCAGGTCGGATTCAAATCCGAGTTCGTGTTTAGAGTGAAAAATAATTGACCTAACTCTACCCTACCTGACTTGAAAAATAATATAATTATACTTTATATATTTATGAATAATTGTAATAATATTTGTCTTTATATTATTTATTTTCAATTTAGTCCTTATTTTATTAAATAAAGTTAATAATTTTATATAATTTCGAATCGGGCCGATCGAGTTGGAATCGGGTTTGATCTCAAAAGTCAGGTCGAATTTCAGGTAAATTCAAATTTTCGAATGGAGATTATAAAATTTTCGGGTCAGGTCGAGTTGGCCGGAAACCCAACCCATGCCCATTTGTAAGTGCGTGCCCTAGATTCAATTCATGTTAAGAGCAAGAATGATTTCTTTCATTTTATACTCATAGGCGATGACACGTATCACCACCTAATTGGTTGAATAAAATTAATTAAAAAATGATCACTGAGAAAGAGAAAGATGATATGAAAATTAAAAATATACTTAGAACTTGACAAGCCATACAACATCAATATTATTATTAAATTTTTAACGGTTGGATATCAAATTAAAATTTAATCTAAATATTATATATGATTCTGAAGAAAAAAATAAATTTTAGATATTTAAACGGAATAAAAATAATAATTTAAGTATTAAATGTATACTTTATTTTTTTAATATTTACTTAAAAAGAATAATTTAATTAATGAGGTATTTTAGTATATTATGTACAACTGAAGAACTTTTCCTAAGAATATAAATTGTTTTATCTTTTTATGTGTGCTGGATGTAAAATGTAACCTAAGAATATAAAATATGTAAATGCAGTAAGTTTTTAAATTTCTATCAGTTCTGGATCTGAATTAAAACATTTTTAAAATCAAGCTGCAACTGGGACTGACCGATCATGATGGAGTTTAGTAAATAAATATTAATAATCAGAGAAAATTTGCCCGCCCAAAATGTATCTAAAACGGTGCTCCCTCCACCTCCACATTTAATGAGGGTTACGCTTTTCGGTAGTATTGTTCGTTACTTAAACTCTCCAACTCTATCTCTTTCTTTTTCCTTTCCTTTGTTTTTTTTTCTCCTATAATTTCCCTCCCTCTCTATCCACGCCTTTAAAATAGCTGAAGATGGAATCTTTTTGATTTACTCTTTTACCCGTCTGCAAAGTGTTCGGAGAAATGCCTGAACCATGGCCACCTTCACCTCCTCCAGCCATACTTTCATCTCGCCCCATTCGTTCCTAACGCACTTCCGTGCTCGGGTTATCCCCTCCTGTTTCTGCAGGATTACCGCCGGCAACAAAGGGAATTCGGTGTCTCTGAATCTGAATCCTGTTCGTGGTTTGGTGCTCGGGGAAGAGAAGAGAAGGGTTTCTTGTTGGTCTTGTTGGTGCAAGAAAGGGTGGGACAGTGACGGGGATTTGGCGTTGGAGACTGAGATATTGGAGTTCATGAGAAATAGTGACAAACCCGAGGCTTTTCCTAGCAAGAAAGAGCTGATTGATGCTGGGAGGATGGATCTGGTTGAGGGGATTAAGAGACAAGGAGGGTGGCTTTCTATGGGCTGGGACTTGGATAATGATATTGATAACCAACACGGGTTTCAAGAAAATAGTATCAAGGATTGGGACTTTATGGAGAATGAGAAGAAATGGGATAACCAGAACCAAGAAAGGGCTCAATTTGAAGTTGAAAGTAATGGGACTCCTAATTTGGCCTTTAATTATTCTAGCTCAACTTCCTCGTCTGGTAGATCATTGTGAGATATTTAACTCTTCGGGATTTTGCTTCCTTAATGTACTTTAGCCTTTTGACAGAAAACTTATTTTTTGCAGTTGTTATTCGAATGCCTTATTGAATTTTGTTATTTGTAGTTTTACCAGTCTCGTGTTTGGAATAAATAATTACAAATGTTTAATCTTTCTTTCTCGTGGAATAGTGATTTGCTTGGACTTGCTGTTACTTGTGAGATGTTTTTTTGAATTTGAATGTGTTATGTTGTTAGAAGAATCAACCTTGTGGAGTTTCTTTGTAGTTATATTTTTTCTTTCATGTTTGGAATAATCGTAAAGCTATATGCGTTGCTTCAAATGAATTTATAGTTTTTCCTGCAAATCAGTTAATCTCCTTTTGAACTTAGAGCAAAGGGGAGAATGCTGGAGCCTGGGGAGATTTGTGTCCTGGGTAGGTTTTTGACAAATGCTCTTGTTTGTTTAGAGAAGCTGCGGCTGAGAATGATTGGGGCATTAACGGTATTCTGAGTCATTTGGAGAAAGAAAGGAATATGAATTTTGGGATTGGTTTCAGAGACAAAGGTGACAATACCTGTTCCCATACTAAATGTACTGAAGAAGAATATCTTGTCCAAGCCTCAACAGATGTGGTATGTTGGATTTATTAGTTCCGAAATCATTCTTACATCCTTGTATCACTTTTCAGCTTTTATTGGTTACATATTTTACTTATGTGAATAAAGATATTTTATTTACTTCTTTAGGATAATCATATTTTTTTACAACTGTTATCGATGTCTCATCCATTTTAAGCTTGATTCTTCATTTTCTTCCATTTGATCATCAGCTTTCTGGTGTGAAATTTAATCATAATCATAATTTTTTGCATTTGTTATGTTGTAAAAGACAGTTGGTGGTCCTCATAGAAAAGTGTTTGCATCATTCAGCGATAATCCTGGCCTAGTCAATGATACCAATGCCAATTTTTGTCTGAACCAGTCTCTATCAGGCATTGATGGTTTAAGAAATCCAACATGGAGAGAGTGGAGCTTTCAAAGAGCAGGATTTTCTGGCAAGGAATTTGAAGGTAGCCCGTCTACTGTTTTCAGATGTTTCATATCTGAAATTTTAATATTAGATACTAATATTTGCACTAGTGCAACTTACAATTGTTGAAATTATCTCCAACAAAATGAATTGATCAACAGATATTTCAGGGTATGAGTCACTTGAAATAAGAAATAAATCCAAGGAACTAGACAGAAGAAAGGAGTCACGTGCTTCTGGAAAAGATGTTAATCACAATGAAATACGAAGCCGTCTTGAGCACTTGAAGTTGGAGCTTTCATCTGTATTACAGACATTGAGGTCTAACGTTGCTGAGGTTTCATCACGGGAGGTGAGCAAATGATCTCTGTTCCATTTTTATGTTAGATTTTTTGTTCCCCCCCCCCCCCCCCTTGAAATGGAAGCCAAATCAAAGTATTTTTGTGGCTTTGCTTGAGAATTAGGTAATTGAAAGAAAGTATAGCTCTATTTGTAGTTCAGTTTTTCTCTTCCAGATAGTTTCTTTACAAGTTGAACAAGACCTCCTTTCATATTTATTACTTTAGAAAATACAAATAGAAAGAATTGGGTAGAACAAACGAAAAACCAGAGGATGGAGGGAGAGCATTAGAGGTGGAGGCAGCTAGTTCTATTCCAGGTTTATGTTCTGAAGGAAGAGTGATCAAGTGATATTATGCCAGTGCTAAGAATGGAGCTTTTATGTTAATCTCCTTCTCGGGGATCAGTAATTTATGAATTATAGTTATGAGATTTTCTTATGTTATCTTTCTGTTTAGGATCTGTTTGTTTATGGCGTAATTGAACCTAGAGAAGTGCTTTGAAAAAGATGAAGAGAATTGAAGCTTTGTTTTGTCAATATGTGCCGACTCAAGATTTAATTGGACTTCTGGATTAGTTAGAAACCTTCTATTGTGCAGTTACTGCGTATTTATTTTGAGTTATTGATTAACTTTTAACCCTGATATCATAATGTCTAGGGTGATGGAAGCACCACTGAAGATTTCCATAAGCTTTCTGATGCCTGGGAGTTCCAAGAAACTGAGATATTGAATGCCCAGGACAATTTGCGATCACTACGGGCAAGGTTGGCAGTTTTAGAAGGGAAGATGGCATTGGCAATAATGTAAGCACTACTTATGCTAGTTTAAGCAAATATCAACCTTATTTTACTTCAAAATCTGAAAGCACAATTTGTGATTGTTTAAGAAAATACCTACCTTATTTTAATTCAAAAGCATCATATATACATATATATACGTCCCTTTGACAGAGATGCACGGAGGACTGTGGAAGAGAAACAGAAAAAGATTGATCATGCTCGTAGAGCTTTACAACTTCTTCGTACTGCTTGCATAGTGTGGCCTAATTCTGGATCAGTGGTGCTGTTAGCAGGATCATTTGATGGGTGGGCAACCAAGGTTTGCTTGCACCTCAAACTGAGTAGACATAGTTGATAATTACATATTTTTCTTGCTTAGTACATTCATTAATGGTAAAGCATGTACGTAAACTACCTGTTTTTTTTTTTTGCATTTCTCTCGAGTTTATAGTCTTGTTCTATCCATAATTATGTTGATAGACTTTAGGGGAAAACGTTTTGTGATGCTTTGTAGAAAAAGATAAAGGCAATTAAATTGTTGAGGAGAATAAAACATTGAACAAAAGAAGCAACTAAGCAGATTGTTATATGTTTAGTCCCAGAATTCCTTTTAACTTCAGAGTGCTCGAAATACATGCATCGTTTCCCAAAATGGAGCTGTGAATCCTGCATTGGTCATGTACCACAGTTCAAATAGATATATAAGTGTTGACAATGATTATCAAGCTATGAGGCTCCCTGTGTAGATAAAACTGTTGGTGTCAATGGATTGAAGCAGACATACTATGGGCATATCTTTAAATTATGAAGCATTTTGAAGGAAACTGTTAGTCCCTATGGGCTGAGACAGATGACACGTTACATAGTGTGGACTGACATATTATTTACCTGTAATGGTCCTTGCTTTTTGGTAAAGCAAAACAGCGCCTGTTTTATTTACTTTGTCTGTCTCTTGGAGTGCTCTATACCGTATGCCGGCTGTCTGCAATAAACTTTCTTGCAGCTTCTGCTTCATGCTTGGTGGGTTGAGTGCATACTCCCTTGCTTTAAAAATGTGTTCTATGCCATTGTCAACAGGAAGTACCACATAAGTTCTCAAGTTCCGGTGTTTATATTTTCCTTAAGAGAGGAAAGTGTGTTTTCTATACTTTCAGCTCTAGTTTAGCAGTGGAGATGCCAAGAATTCATTCTTTCAGTTCTAATTTTGCAGTAGGATTCTGTAGTGTTCTATAATTTGCATATTTGACGACATCATTTTCACCAGTTTTGTTGTGTTAATTTTATTCAGACAAGTGGTTAGCGTCCACTATAATATTCATGAATCTCACACGATGGTTTTCATTACATCTCCCTTCATGATAATCTTTTTGTATTCTGCACTTAAGCTCACCCATGAGGCAAATTAGTGATTCAACATGCGTGTAAATATGGTTTCTTCTCATTGTTAGGTAGCTTATGAATTATATGATCATATCTTGCAGAGAAAGATGGAGAAATCGAGTGGTGGTGTTTTTTCTGTGCACTTGAAGTTGTATCCAGGGAAATACGAGGTGCGTATTTACGTCAACTTGGTTTCAATTCTAAATTGTTAACATTTACTTACATGATGGACAGCTCAGCACGGTTGCCTCGTGTAGATTAAATTCATCGTCGATGGTGAATGGAAGCTTGATCCCTTGCGCCCTATCGTTAACTACGATGGATTCGAGAATAATCTACTTATCATCACATAAGGAGGCCAGACTTCTAGGGGCATACAGTGGGCACGGCAAGATCATTCATCGCAAAAATGATAGGACATGGGAGTAAATGCATTTGATTTTTCTTTTTAGTTTCCTTACTGTAAACAAGTAGAATAGAGCTGGTAGAAGGTTGATTTTAATGATTCTTTTTCGAGGGGTTCGTATAACGTACGTAAAAAAACCGTATCGGACTACCATCCGATACCCTTTTTCCGTTAAATGTTCTATTTTCCACCTTGTCGATAATGCAAACATCTAGGCGAATAACGAGATTGTTTTTGGACGGTTCACTTTATGAAAGCTTTCATTTTTCAATGTTATAATTATGCAACACGAACAACTCGTCTCTTTCCCTTTCTGAAGACATAGCTGCGCCCTTAGCTATGGATAAACTGACAATGGAGACATGGTGCGCACGTGCTCATCATGGTCCACGAAAATGAACTGCACGTGTGACTTCCTCGTGAGAATAATTTCATTTTTTAAGGAGACAACAAACATCTACAAACAAAGAAAATAGAAGAGAAATGTACATTTTAACAATTATATTAAGTTAAACTCTTTATTATTAAAGGGATTAAAATCCAAGTAAACCATTATTAGATAATTCCAATTAATTCACTGTTCGTCCCTTTGCAGCAAAAACGTCCCAAATTCAAATATTGGAGAGATTTGATATACCCGACTAAGCCAAATCAGTCCCATCCACCGAATTAAAATATAATGTTATCAACTGTATATATGGAAAGTTGGTCGAAAATGACAGTTTGGCACTTGGAAATGGGAAAGCAGACAGGCAATACCCCACTCTTACCTTTCTCTTTAATCTCACCACCCATCGCCTGCCACGTTGCATCGCTCCATTTGATTGATCAAAGCTGGAAACCTGTTGCTTGCTTTCAAGTTTGGGTGCTCGTTTTTCTTTGAACAGGGACCGCACACGTGGATGATTCAAACCTAACCATCACCATGAATACGACCGTGGACTGCGATGGTCGGCAGGGGGAAAAATATCATTCATCCCCCCCCCCCCAATCCTCCATCTTTATAATCTTCATTCTTGGTCAATTTTAACTTTAAATCTCTTTTAAAAAAATAATATTTATTGTTTTTTATTTCATTATTCATTTGTAGCAATATTGAATAATCATTTTTTTAATAATAAAGAAGTGATTAATTTTTTTTCTCCCATTGAGTTTTGAAAAAAAACGTTAATTGAATACACTAAATTTCATCCTTATATTATATAATATATATATTTATTATAAATTATATTTACATTTTTTTTTTCTTCAGGGCCCAACAGTGGACCAAATCCGTCTCCCACGTAACCCTAGCACGCCCCTCATTCCTTGTTCCCAGCCGCTCGAGGACACCACAGCTTGCACGCCTCTCCAACGGTCCCCGAGTCATCCGGCGCAAGAGTCACAACCGTCCTCAACAACCAAAGCAATAATCCAGCATTAGAGTTCCATTAGGATTCAAAAGTGTAATCAAAAATAGGTTTTTTTTATTATTATAAATAGATGTAAACATCCATTGTAAAAGGGGGATTACGAGGAATTTGGTGAGAAAAACACACAATATATTACGAGAGATCAGGGGAAATATAACATTTTTGGAAGCTTTATTTTGTAACCAGTTCAGAAAGAAATAAAGGTAGCATTTTTTACCTCTTTTTTTTGGTTCTTTTCGCCGTTGCATGGTAGTATTCCTCTGCGATTTGTACAAAAACAAAAGAAAGCGTTTTCAGCCGATGAACGGAGGGGCTTGGTCGGGATCTTCTTTTATAGATCTAGCCCCCGAGGCTCGTTTTTTATAAAAAATATTTCGTTTTTCTGAAACTAGATTTAAAAACCTTTGGAAAACAAAAAAAAGAACGGGTTTTGCCGCCGATGAACGGCGGCCGTCGCCGTTCAACGGCGGCGGCGAGGCGGCGCGAGGAGGCCAACGGTCGGCTTCTGGAAAAGGTCGCCTGTGTTCTTCATTACTGAAGAACAAGGCAGAGAAAAGAGAAAGGGGGGGGGATCCCTCGGCTTGAAGAAGAAGAGAAAATGAAATAAAAACAAACATTTGATCTGTTTATATCAGACCCACGTGTTTCTAAATAAATTAGGGTAAACTACCCTTTTGGTCCCTCGTATCTTTTGGAGAGTTATTTCACCCCCCAAATTGAAATTAACCCTTAATATTGCTTTAGAATTTCGACCTCAAACCTGCAGTTCTTTCATTTTAGTCCTTTCTCTGGATTTTAATTTTAATTATCTTTTATATTACATTATAATATTATATATATATATTATATTATTAGTGTTTTACACTCGTATATATGTATTATTAGTATAGTATTATGTCACTTATACGTTTTATTATATATATATATTATTATTGTTATTATTATTATTATACGTATATATGTATATATTTTATTTCTTTTATACTCTTTTACCATTTTTATTTTATTATTATTATTCTTTATATTATCCTTATTATTTCTATTATTACTATTCTTTATTTATTCATGTAATTATATATATATACGTATTTTCTATACATTTCATCTATATACTTAGTGTTAATACATATATATTATTTTAATTAACTTTTTGGTCATTTCTTTATCTAGCTACTACATCTTATAATTTTATACGTTATATGTGTATTTTTTTTATTATTTACCAACCTTACTCATTTTGTCTTATAATTATATTTCTATTAACATTTTTTTGTATTTATGTATATACATATATATATATATATTCATTTTACCTATTATTGATATTTTTCCTTTTTAATACTTTAATATATATATATTTCTCGTTTCATTCATTAATTATTTATTCCACGTTTATTTTATTTATTTCTCCCTTTTACTTTTTACTATTATTATTTATTTATTTATGCTATTATATTATATTTTATTATTACATTCGTGTATGTATTACCTTTTTTTTACCTTTTATTTTTATATATCTTTCATGTATTTTTCATATTTTACATATATATGTATATATATTTTATTTATTATTTTCATCATTATTATTTCATTACTATTTTTACTATTATAACTGTTATTTTTTATTTATATATTACGCATATTTTTTTCTCTTTTCATTATTCATTGTTTTATATTTTATTTTACTCTGTGTAATTTTTTTTTTTGTATGTTTTATTATATTTTCTTCTTTTTCTTTATTTGTATTTTCGTTTGTATTTCTCTTCTGCATATCTTATTTTGTATTTAGTCATATTTCATTCTTTCCTTTTTGTATACATTGTTTTTTATATTATTTCGTTTGTCCGCCTTATTTTTCTATTTTTATTACTTTCATTACCTAACCCTTTCCTTGCCTTTTTGAGAGAACTTCAAACAATCAGTGGTAAGCAATTTGGATCAATATTTTACCTTTTAACTTAACTTTCAATTTTCTTAATTAAAGACAACTGGAAATTACACAGTACCGAAAGGGCAGTTCAAGGGTGCTAGCCCTTCCTTGACTGTAACCGACTCCCGAATCCGACACATCTCTGGTAAGACGCAGATCAGGTAAGAAATAGGATATCCGATCAACCCATTTATTTTTAAATAAATGATCGGTGGCGACTCCAATCCACATTTTTCAAGTTGAAGCCCAATTTCGGGGCCCAACCGAAAGGCGGTTCCGACAGCTTGGCGACTCCGCTGGGGACACAGGTAAGTGAGTCAGGCTAAGGTAATTTCCAGTTGTCTTTTTAACGAAAAAGGTAAGTTTAAATTTTAAGGTAATATTTCGATCCTTATTACTTATTTTTGATTATATTTTTCGAGTAAATAGTTGGACTGACCGTTTTCTAATGATTTCAGCTTTCCAAACATTTTCATCTAAGGCTCTAAACCCGAGCTCCGAACCCTATTTTAAGTGGGGGTGAAAGCGACGCCTTCGTGTGAATTTATTCACCGTGCGGGCCTAGCAAGTAGCCTTCGGGATTCATATACCTTATGTCTTCGTGTGAATTTATTCACCGTGCGGGCATAAGGGAATGTGTCCCCTCGAGTTTAACTTAGTCCATACAAGCCTGTGATGGGTTTAGGACTAAGGGTCTGGCAAGCCCAAGGGGGCACCGACAAGGAAAACTCGGGTACCGTTTTTAAAACCTAAACCGGGAGACCATGAAGAATTAGAGCCTACCCCAAAACCACGTTCCAAAACTTAGGATTTTTTTACCCTAACCATGTTTTTGTTGCGTTTTTTTTCTTCCGTCATTTTTTATTTGTATTCTTATTTTACTAACGTTTTTGCCTTTGTGTTTGTTTTCTAGCATTTGCATCATTACAAGAGGCTATTGATCCCTAAAAAGCGTTTGTTATACACAAAATAATTCGAATTAATGGACAAAGGTGTTGTAATACAAGAGATTGAAAACGCTGAGGCACGACTATGGTCCGAGAAGGCTCAGAAGGAGAAGGGAGACAGTCTTCAGGGAAACTATGTGTCAGAACTGGTTAGTTATGCCGCTGTCAGCCTGAAACAGAATAATGTCCAAGAGCTGCGAAACATTTGGGACAGTTGGAAGAATGACAGAAAGCAGAAGTTCAGCCAACGATATGGTGATATCGCCCTCTTGCTCCATGTCAAGACTGATGAGCCCTTGCTCCGAGCATTAATTCAATTCTGGAACCCGGGATATAGTTGTTTCACCTTTAACCAGGAAGACATGGTGCCTACTATCGAAGAGTATACTACTCTATTGCACTGCGAAAGCATCAAACTAGAGAGGGCATATATTAAACATATCAAGAGTCAGCCCTTCAAGAACGGACTGGCCAAGATTGCAGGGGTTGATGAAAAGTGGGTGACTGATCGACTCCGGCACAAAGGTAGCGGGGAAGGAATCGAGTGGATCCATATAAAGCAACTAATGAAAAACCACCCTGATGAGTGGAAGACTATAGACCTTTTGCACTGGGTCTGTACGGTTTAATCATATTTCCGAAGGCTTTGGGGTGCATTGACGCTGCCGTGGTGGAATTATTTGAGCAACTTTCTAAACGAGTTAACCCAGCACCAGCCATCTTGGCTGAGACCTTTCGATCGCTCAACCATTGCCGAAGAACTGGCGGAGGAAGATTCACCGGGTGCATTCAGCTCCTTCAGGTCTGGATTCACAGCCACTTCTGGAAGAC